AAAGGCTGCAACCAGTATAAATATCTAGGAAGCATCATATCAGCAGATGGCAGAGTTAAGATAGATGTACAAAACCGAATAACCCAAGGGAAAAAATGCATCCGAATACTGAATTCATTACTGTGGTCTAATAAAATAAAGATGCATACCAAACTTCGCGTATACAGAGCAATTGTAGAACCAATTACCACATATGGTGCCGAATGTTGGACGATGACAAAGAATGAACGAGATAAAGTAGACGCTGTGGAAATGGATTATCTTAGAAGGTAATGTCGAGTATCGAGAATGGAAAGAATCAGGAATGAGGAAATACGAAACCGTACAGGAATTAGAGATACTCTTTCAGATAGAATACAAGGAAGGCAATTACAATGGTATGGTCACGTGATGAGAATGGAGGAGGAGCGGTGGCCAAAGAAAGCCTTAATGTATGTTCCGCCAGAAAGAAGGAAAAGGGGAAGACCACCAAATTCCTGGAAAAGAGAAATTACAAAAACAATGCAATCTAGAGGCTTAGAAGAGGGAGATTGGGGAGATAGGAAAAGATGGAGGCTAAAAATGCGGGAAGCGGCAATCGCCGTAGGACCCTCGTTATATGATGATGATGGAATATTCTATAGGTATCACAATATAGTATAAGGCTTCGTTCGGAAAGTGAAGTAAACCTTTTCGTATGAGCATTTTAAACTAATTACTATTTTGTTTTTCGCTGCAGAAAGTTGTGACACAAATTAGTAATAAGGATATTGAAATAAGAAAGTAAATCCTACATGATAAGGTTTTAATCAACATAAAATTGTACATAATCCCACCAAAATAATAGAAAAATAACTTGGCAGTGAGACTGACTATAGGTCGATTCAGACACATCAGTCGTCACGTCTCGTCACGGTCCTGGCGCCGAACCGAACAATCCGTCATACAAAATATTCTTTAATAGAAATATGGCGCCGGCATACACATTCATCAGGCGACGAACAGTTTCCCAGCTGTCAGATAATTAATAATTCTGTGACCAAACAGGACCGGTTCGGCGCCGGACTGTGACGGACTGATGTGTTTGAATCGACCTTTAATATGTCAAACACTGACAAACCTGCCAAGATAAAGTTGTCTATATTATTCTAAGTCTACAAAAATTGCAATACCAAGAAGATTAATATCGCATTTTTGATTCCAGGTATTTGGCATAAGGTGTTGGCTGATGTATTTCTTAGGTATACCTAGATTACAAAGGTCTTCCAGCATTCTGTCTCTTTTCACACTATCAAAAGCTTGTTTAAAAAAGTCTATATACATATTATATAGGTATATGTCGTATTCATAAGCTTTTTATTGTATTGTTCTTAGTATGAATATGTTATCTGTAGTGGCTCTATTTGGTCTGAATCCATTTTGATAATCACCAATTATATTTTCGGAGTATTCTAATAATCTATTGTAGATTATACCAGAAAGAATTTTGTATATTACATTTAGCAATGTAATTGGCCTATAATTCTGGCATTCCCTCTTATCTCCTTTTTTATATATTGGCTGTATGAGGCCAACTGTCCATTCCTCTGGCATTTGCTCCTTCGTCCATATTAATGGTATTAGGTAATGGATTCTTTCCCAGAGTTCGGATCCTCTATGCTTTAATAATTCTGCCGAAATTCCGTCCGTTTTTGGTGCTTTATTGTTTTTTAGTTTATTTATTATCTGAACTACTTCTTCATAACTCGGATTTTCGATGTGCAGCTCCGCCGTGTAATATATTGTCTCGTTCTGACCATTTTCGTTGTCTGCAGTTAGATTTTCTTCGAAATATTGTTTCCATCTCATTATAATTTTTCTTTTTGCTTGCTTTGTTAAATATTAAGCTGGAATATTTGATGAGGAACAATTAAATAGAGAAAAAAAAACAATTCGAGTTAATATTAGTTCTTAATATTGTTCTGAAGCTATTTTTTGTGGCATTTTAAAATAATTACTATTTAAATGGTAAATAACCGAATATATCGCAAACTGGACATAGACATTAATAAGACACAATTTGGTTTTTGCAAAGGCCTAGGAACGCGTGAGGCTCTTTTTTCACTCAATATACTGATACAAAGATGCCTGGACGTCAATCAAGATATATACGCATGTTGTATTGACTATAATAAAGCATTTGATAAAGTACGACATAAACAATTAAATAATGTCCTGAAATCAAAGAAAATTAACTACAACAACCTCAGGATCATATCAAATTTATACTATTAACAGCGAGCAAAAGTACGTGTTAACGAACAGCTGTCAGAAGAAATTGAAATTAGATGTGGAGTGAGACAGGGATGCGTATTGTCGCCAATTCTTTTTAATGCCTACTCCGAAGAGATCCTGAGAGAGAGAGAGAGAGAGAGAGAGAGAGAGAGAGAGAGAGAGAGAGAGAGAGAGGAGAGAGAAATACAGCTTGCTCCAACTGATTATGCAGGGAAAGATCCAAGGAAAAAGAAGCGTAGGGAAGCGTAGAATGTCATGGCTGCGCAACCTGCGAAAGTGGTAAGGATGTACATCAAATGAACTTTTCAGAGCAGCCATCTCAAAAGTCCAAATAGCTATGATGATTGCCGACCACCGCCGCGGAGATGGCACTTGAAAAAGAAGAAGATTTAAATGGGAATAAGCCACAATTAGAGGTTAAAGTAAGTTTATTGATGTTTCAATTTCCACTTCTGAAATCTTTCCCAAAATACAAACATTAGTAAATAAATTAGTAAAACAATTTACTAATGTTTGTATTTTGAAAACGATTTCCGAAGTGGAAATTGAAACGTCAATAAACTTACTTTAACCTTTAATTGTAGCTTATTCCCAGTTAAATAATAATTAATATTAGTTTTGTATTCGATATAATAAAATTGACTTTTACAAAAAATCATGTCACTCTAAACGTTAAAATTCTTACTATCAGCGCGAAATCATATTTTTAAATAACAAATTGAAAGTTGATAATATATGAGATAAAATATTTATTATATTTTAGTAATTTATTTCATTTTAATGCAGGTTTCACTTTTTTTTACGATGTTACAAAATATTGTTTGAATATTCCTCTTAATATATGAGCAATATTGCAACTCCATTGCATTTAAATTATACAGGGTGAGTGGGGAGGAACGCACCAAACTTTAAGACTGTATAATATACGTAAAAATAAGTAAAAATAACTCATATGTTGTTATTCGATTTTCATTTGTTTTCGAGTTATAGCGATAATAACACAAAGTTGTAACTTAACATTAATTTAATGTTAAATGTTCTTATAATAACTTTTCAAAAATACCACCATTGACCTGTAAGCATTTTCTGCTTCGTCTATGAACATTCAACGTTGCTCTTCTGATTGCGTCATGGTTTGCTCTAATTGTGGCTGCAACATTTTTAATGTGTCGAATTAGTGCATCGCGAGTGTCGACTTTTACCTTGTAAACTTCATTTTTAAACCAGCCCCATAAAAAATAGTCTAATGGTGTTAGGTCTGGAGACCTCGGAGGCCAACTAATAGGACCATTGCGACCAATCCAACGCCTTGGAAATTTTGTATTTAAATGTTGCCTGACCTGACGAGCAAAATGTGCAGGAGCTCCATCCTGCTGATAATACATTTGCATTCTGATATTTAGTGGAACGTTCTGTAGGAGTCCTGGCAATTCATTCTGTAAAAAATTCAAGTACTCCTCTCCTGTAAGGCGGTTCTCAAATATGAAAGGGCCAATTAAATAACCGTCGATCACACCACACCACAACGTTTACCGAAAATTTGTGCTTAAAACTAGCTTCAATTGTTGCATGTGGATTTTCATCTGACCATACATGTGAGTTGCGGCTATTATTAATACCGTCTCTGGTGAATGTTGCTTCATCGGTAAAAAGTATGCGGGATATAACACGACGATTATTATTTATCCATCGACAAAATTGCATACGGCTGGCATAATCTTCTGGTTGTAGGTGCTGTACACGTTGTAGGTGGTATGGATATAAACCTTGCTCGTGAAGTGTGTTAATTACTCTCGTTTGAGGAATGGCTAAATGAGTACCGATTCTTCGTGAGCTGATCCCTGGATCATCTTCTACTGAATCCAGAATATTTTGTATTTCTTGTAAACTTTGTCGGGGAGCACGTTCTGATATTATTTTATAACTAGGAAGCGTTCCGGTCTCGCATAGTTTGTTGAAAACTCTAATAAATACATTTTCATCTCGAGTTCTCCGATTTGGAAACCGTTGACGATATTCTTCAACAGCAGCTCTACCGTTTCCATTACAAAAGCCATAAACAAACACCATATTTGCATAATCACTATTTGACTAAGTATGTGGCATTTTGCAACAACTTTTTTTATACAAACTGTCAAATAGACATTAAATCACGTTGACACTACACTATTATGACAGTTACCTAATTATTAAACGAATCACAGATACATGTTACAGCAATGTGATAAGTAGCAGTAAAATTACAACTTTGTGTTATTATCGCTATAACTCGAAAACAAATGAAAATCAAATAACAACATATGAGTTATTTTTACTTATTTTTACGTATATTATAGTCTTAAAGTTTGGTGCGTTCCTCCCCACTCACCCTGTATATTATCGGTTTTTTTATAGACATATGCCACTCTAGAAATATCTCGATTGTCTAGAGCGTATTCTATATACAGACCCATCCAAAAAAATCATAATTAGATAGACCACAGAATCGTCTATGGAAGGAGTTGGGAGAAGCCTATGTCTAACAATGCACGAAAGGACGAAATCCTACCTCAGAATAGGATAGTATGCAAAAAGGCAAACCGAAAGCCGAATGAATTGAATAGCGATGATGATGATGACGATAAAACTCCCAAGGACTCTAGCAGACACTTTCCCAAAATCCATAAGACCATATTTTGTCTTGCCATGTCAATAATACATTACAGTTTCTATGAACAGTATTAATAATAAACATTTTCTTTTTTTAGAGACCTTGGAGAATCATGCTTTGGAAATAGTGCCATTCCCAACGACTTCGAGACACTTTGTAAGCAAGCGTACACCGTTGTCAGATTGCTAAGCGTAACACACACTGGTAAATTAGAATACAGCTATTTCCCAGTTCCCAGCACTTGCGTTTGTTCGTACAGAAAACTTAATGATTATGGTTAGGATAAACAATTTGATTGTATCGTTAACACCGTGTTCAATTTGCTGTTCTCTTTAATTCGAGAGAGCTGACAAGCTTGGTTTAGAACAATACATATGTGTGAATTTTTTAAGTGATAAAAACCTTTTATTTATTTTAGTTATAAGTTTGCGGTATTATTAAAATAAAAAGTAACTGTATATTCTTCTTTTTATTATAAAAACCTCCGTCACCAACAACAAGGGATTCGTCAGCACAGACATTATGGAAACTCTGTCTCATTTGGTGCATCAACATAAGGTCGCCCATTCCTTCATGAAATAATTCAGCTCGGAGAAGAACTTAAGAAAACAAACTCAGAACCGAAAGGTGAAGTAAGTTGCTGGAAGAACTGGGCATGGCAAAAAATATCTGCCATGTGTGGAAATTGCTCATCATCATCATCATAAGTAGCTCGACAATCCGTTGTGATTCCTGGCAACTTCTTTCCATCTTTCGTAACTATATATTTCCTAACAGATTTCATTGATTCCTGGGGTTTTATTGTTTCATAGGGTAAGGAATCCTAAGGTATTAGGGTTCCTTTGAGGTTTAGGATGGCATTTGACGCTTCTTGACAAATGAATTGACATGCAGTAAAAAATGTTGGCCAGTTTGAATGTGGAAAATTTGAAGAAGATAATTTAGATATATAATAAGTAATTAAAAGATATATAACTAAATAAGGTCATAGTTTTACTTGCCTATGCAAAAAAAAGACTCTATAATAGGAATTATCTCTTGCAAAATTAGAAATACTTATATATTGGTTTTTTAATTAATTTCTTTCATTTCTAATTCCCGATATATCTTCTTTTTTCTTTTCTCTATAGCCCTTTAATTATTATATAGAAGCCAAAGGATACAAGTGCAATTTTAAATAAAATGGAGTTAAGTGTACTAAGTAGTTGCTATGGAGTCAAATATTGTTGTGGCAAAGGATACAAGTGTATCACTGAACAGTGCTGCAATCTAGCGGATGGTATAAGTACTACCTCAAATATTAGTTGTTTTCCTGAGAAGCCAAGAGGTATAGCGCCATTTGTACCTCTTGGCCTCCAACTGACTGTCATCAGAGTTGTTTTTTTTGCTGTCGTATTGTATTTTATTGTAGATGAAGAAGAACAGGAGTCTCAACATAACCTCTTTAAACCTCTTTAAAATTCTGTAAAGCCCATAGTTTGTATTTATAAAGGCTATGAATCAGAATATTATCAGATAAAATTAGCGCATGTCTTATTTTTTCAGACGACTCAGATGCAGATTCTACATACCAGCCATCAATCTAGTAACAGTGACAGTGAATCCGAAGAAGAACCTGAACAACCTAAACCAGGACCAAGGAAAGAACATAACAAACACCCCGGTAAAAAGAGGCTGAGAAGGTCAGACAATTTGGCACGGGTACGTTGCAAAGCAGGCAAGAAATGGCACATTTATACTGACCGAAAAGAAACAGTGCATCGAGCAAAGCGTATGGAAGAGTTTAACCATAACTTTAGATATGGTTGTAATACAAATATTCCTAATGACAGATGTCAATCTATTTTGACAGTTATTGAGGACTTGGAAGCTGTGATCTTCAAACTTATGTTTTATGTTCTTGCATTAGCCCAAATCCTGCAAGAAAAAAACCTAATGCGAGCTATGTGAAGAGAACAAGCTCTACATACACATTAGAAGGGTATGAAGTATGTAATGCTTTTTTTATGAAAACCCTTGATGACAGTAATAAACGAATTACTATTGTTATAATGAAAAAAATGACCAGCATAAACTCGGTTTCTTACAAGGACCAAAGAGGTCGTAAAGCTCTATCGAATAAAATAACAGATAAAACCATTTACTTAATCAAAGAGCATTTAAAGTCGCTTCCTAAGTACAGTAGCCATTACTCTAGGATTAGATCTCCAAATGTGAAGTATTTGAGCGTGGAACTGACAATGAAAAAAATCTACACTTTGTATGTAGAACTGTGTATGGAAAGAAACGTAAACCCTGCGAAGGAGAGTTACTATAGGTATATTTTCCGTGCTAATTTTAACCTTTCACTCAAGAGACCTCACATCGATACGTGTGACAAATGTGACACATTACAGAATATTATTAATAATGGTGTTGATCCAGAAAGAGTTGCAACAGCAAAAATTGAAAAAGAATTACACTTGCGCAAGGCACAAGCTGCAAAAAATGCAAAGGATGATGATGCATCGAATTTCAAAGGTGACCCCACTACAGAAGTTGTATGCTTTGATTTACAAATTGATTTACAAAAGACGTTTCCAACTTTAACCTGAAAAAAAGTATACTATGATGATTTTATTAGTCCTAATGTATTGTCTTTATTCTAATTTATTGTCTTTATTCTAATTTATTAAAACTCACGATAATTTATCAAAAGTCTTTATTTTATACTAATTTATTTTACACTTAATAATTACAAATAATTTATTTGCGTTCGAACAATTTAACGCGAGATCGCGATCTTCTTGTTGACTGACTGCTCAATGAAAATCTTTCGTTATTTATTTGAAACCAGCTGGTAAACAGAATGTTGTAGAAAATACGATGTCGTTCTCGACGTAGACACAGCAGCGACTGGTCTAAAAACTGGTATGTTTTTCATCGGCTCGTCCCCAGAAAGTTCGATTGTTGTTTTAGCGAAGGGGATCCAAAGGATGTCAGGTAGATTTTTGACCTAGAAATTACGAGAATCAATACAAAAGAATTAGTCATAAAATATTTACAGTTCTATACGCCATAACATTTAAAATCGTAACAATACTATAGCCGTCAATTTTGGACTTGCAATTTTTGTTTGCACAATGTTTGCACTGGACAGACACGGATGTTTTTGTGGCATGAAGACCAAGGTAATCGTCGTTGCAACGAAATTGCTTCCTGCCTTTGGAAATACATCTAGACACTGCCACCAATCGTTAAGCACATAATTCTGTACAGTGACAACTATGGTGGCCAAAACAAAAGTCATTATATTGCAAAGTTCTGGCATTATGTAGTCCAAATGTTACAAATTGATTCTGTTGACCACAGGTTTCTGGTAGTGGGACATTCATCTATAGAATGTGACCAAGATTTCGGAATTATCAAAAAAGCGAAAAACAGAAACCATCACCAGGTTTATATACAAAGTATGTGGACCGACGTCATAGTGAAATCTAGTAGGAAGTTCATGATGACGCAAATAGAGGATGATGACTTTGTGTCTTTAGATTCACTAGAACCTTACTTTAGGAAAAATGTACCAGGTATCAGTAAAATTCAGCGTATGCATTTTGAGAAAGCATATCCATACACACTGTTTTACACAGAAAGCGTCAACCTTCCTACCTTTTACCAGCTGAACATGAAGTCCTTAAGAGCTGGTCGACCTCTCAACGAACTCCCGTTATAAGCAGCAACAGAAAACAAGCCAAAAACCAAGAAACTTAAATTTGACAACTTAAAGTCACTTTTGCCATACATTTTCCCTATCTACCACGACTTCTTCAACAGCTTACAATACGCTAATGAGCCTAACAATGTTCCTGTCGAAGATAACCAGAATTCTTTTGTTCCCCCAGATGCTGAAGAGCCAGGAAATATTTTTGATAGCGAGTCCGAAAGTGATTGTTATATTTCAGAAATGATAGTATTAAATTGATTTAAACAATTTTGTAACTAATTATTATAATGATTTTGTATTAAATTACATTATTTTCACCACAGTTGTATTTTTTACTCAATCCAAATTTTCATATACAATACAAACCTAAAGGGTTCAGTCAATATCTGGTTCTTTTTTTACCTTATCAAGGATTGTAAAATAAGGGGTAAAAGACAAGATCTAAAACTTATTCTGCAGCTTATGTAACACTCCTAAGTTATTTTAAAAGTGTTTCATGTGTATAAAACAATTACAGAAAACAAGAGAGTCAAACTTAAACCTTCTTTTTCTCTGTATGTTTTAGTGTCTTCAGTGAAGATTCAGAATTTATTTTCTCTTCTATATTATCAAATATCTGATTTTTGTTTAAAACTATATCAGAGTCTATATTGTTAGCTTCTGGCACGAGGGAATGCACAAAAATTATGTCTTTGGTTGGATCTTCTTTATTAACTTCTATTTGTTGTTTCAGGAAGGAGAGCTGAGAGAGTTTCTTTCCTGAGTAATAAATTGAAGTTTTGATTTTCTCTGCAATTGACTTTGCTACGTTGGTGGGTTTATTAACATATTCTATTAATTCTTGCGCAACGTCACCAATAAAATTGTCATTTTCTGTATCTCTTTGTTTCTTGAGAAGAGACGTTTCCTTATTTATACAATCATTTGCAGGCTTTCTTGCTTCTTTTTCTCATTATCAATATTTAGTCACTTGTACTCCTTATAGTCTAGGCGGGATCTGTTTTGGATTGGAAATTTTCGAGGGAAGCTATTTTTTTGCTGGAATCCCTTTAGGATATGCCCAGTATCGATAATCACGATATGCGCCAGTCGCAAACAAAATCTGAAAACAATTGAAAATTTCTCATTTTTTTGCTCCTATTTTCATTTATAATTCGAAAAATATTGATCTTAGAGAAAAAATTATAAGTGATTAAAAGTTTCGTTATTAAATTTTACACAATATTTTGTTAGCTAGAAATTGAAAATTTAATGGTTATTGTTGAAAAAATAACAATAATTGGAAAAAAAAGTACAAAAAAAATGAAGTTAATCCTTTAAATGTTTTCGACTTTCTAACTTGACTTACAAGTTCCATATTCCGCCTAGAAAAACTTTTTAATATGTTTAAAACGTGTGCTAAATTTTGTTAAGATCGGTTGGATAGGTTTTGCATAATAATTTTGCAATCCAGCCTACTGGAAAAAAATCGCAAATTTTTAAATTCATAGTAGGCCCTAAATAATGCCCTCAGATAGTTGCAATTTTTTTTACATATAAAGGAAGTCTCACACTTTCAAACGCTTTCTGAAAAATTCAAATCGGTTTACTAGGAAAGCCTATAAATTTTTTAAAAGTTATAAACATTTTTTAGGCTTATAAACAAATTAAATAACTTTACGAGCTTTAAACATATCAATTTCAAAATGTATACACTTAAAGAACATTAAAAGACGCTTCTTTTAAGAAACAAAAAGATACATTCGGCTTACTGGTTG